GTGCTTTTTGCTGCGATGTGTTTGTCATTTGATACAAGAGACTGGGGACTCATCCAATAACTGAGATGTGTATAAATAAAACGCCGTCTGTGCATTAAATGAGGGTTGAAGACGGAGATGGAGATGTTGTTATTCACAGGAGATTCTCACTTAAATGGACTCACCTGCAGGAACATCAACATGTGTTTGTGTGATAAACAGTACGGCAAGCATATGTGGAGGAAAGACTTTGGTACAAGGATTCTAAATCTTACCTAAGAAAAGTATTTACGACAAAAGTATAAAATGTGCATGGCCCATTTCAGAGAGAAATATGTAGATGCAATAATGTGCAATAACTCTTGAAAACAAATCAGCTGCTCCATAGCTTCTCTTTGGTTGACTGGACTTCATATGGACTGTATCATTTCTGTTTTAATTCTATTTTGAGATGTTTACATTTTAGAATTGTTTATTCCTACTCTTTTAATTTCTACTTAAGTGCAATGCCTTGTTTTCTATGCTGCTGCAATGCAAAGTACATCTTATCGTATCCTAACATTGCAGCTGCTTTTACTGTAGCTTGCTAATGTCCATCAATCTATCAAAAACACATATCTAATCCCAGAGGGTAATCGTATTATCTTATTATTATTATTATTATATATTTTTAATTGTTCTAAAGGACGAATTAAAGGGGACCTATCATGCAAAATGCACTTTTGTACGTCTTTTCTACATGAATATGTGTCCCCGGTGTTCCAGGTAACTCACCAAGTGTCAGAAAACACAACCCTCTCTATTTTCCTCCATACCCAAATCTCTAAAAAAGGGGCTGCAACGGATCTGATAAAAACTGATCCAGATTTGAACACTGTCCTGACGTCAGGACGGTGGCGCTACGGCTATTGGGCCAACTCCACCAATCAGGAGGAGACAGCCACGGCCATTGCCGTTCGAAAGCGCTGGAGACGCTGTAGTACATATGCCAGGCCTGTAGGTGGTGCTGTTCTCACTGAATCTGCCCTTACACAAACAGAGCTAAAAAATGTCAAATTGAGCGAAATGAGGCATGGCTAAAATGCATGATCTGTTTGGTATTTTGAAAAAAAAATTATTATATATTATTAGTATAAATATGCCTTATATAGGTATGGTCCTATACTATATTATTCAAATATAGCATCATAGGTCCACTTTAAGTTTTATTTGAACCTTTTTTTTAATCAATTATACATCATATGGTTTTTCAGAATCTCGATTGTCATAGTGATTATCAAATAAATGCAGCAGGGTAAAAGGTGCAATAAGTGTCTCTGAAATGCAGACATGAAGAAGTAAACAGTAGCAGTTACAGTAATTGAAATACTATTTACTAGTAAAGTACACGTATCAGTACTCGAGAAATACTGTAGTACTGCAGCATTTCCACCGCGATGGTGTGTGTTCACAGTGAGAAGAAAGAAAACCCTGTCAGAATTTGAACACATGGAAATGAATCCATTTCAGTAGCGAGGGAGGGATGATGCTCTCTCTCTCTTTCTCTTCCTCTCCCCTCTCTCTCTCTCTCTCTCTCCCCCCCACCCCCCGTCTGCGACCTTAAATAACAGTCTCTCTGTCAGAGCAGATTTAGCTCACCGGCTCACGGATAAATATTTGAAACGAAAACAGAGAGATGAGAGCAGGCGGCCGATTTACACGTCAGGAGGAAACACCATTACTCTGTGTGTGTGTGTGTGTGCGTGTGTGCGTGCGTGTGTGTGTGTGTGTGTGTGTGTGTGCGTGTGTGCGTGCGTGTGTGTGTGTGTGTGTGTGAGAGGGGAGGGCAGAGCTGCTGGTGCACAGTGAAAAGTACATTTACTCAAGTATTGGACATAATTGTATTTTCTCTACTTCATACTTATTCTCCAATACATTTAAAGACAAATATAAAAATATTAATATTTTAATATTTCTTAAAAGACATATGTGAAGGTCATACAGTATCATCACGTCTTATTTGAATATCTTTATTTGATGTTACTCTAGTGTCTCAGTACCAGGTAATAAAGCAGGCCATTTTAAGCTCTTTATCATATCACATGATTTGATGTTTTAGATATCTCTCTGTATATGTAATACAAAATATATACAAATACAACATTTAAAATAATATAAATATGTGAAGGTCATATCATCATTTCCTATTTAAATATCTATATTCATTTATTTATTTAATTGTGCAATCGTACTTTAATATTTGAGTATTTAAATTAATTAATTAATTATTTATTTATTATTTTTAATGATTAAAAATGTCTAAAAAAAACTATTCATAATATTATTTTTTCAAAAGTTTATATTGTCATAAATGTGAAGGTCGTTTCATCACTTCTTATTTTCTGTTAATTTTATTTATTTATTTTTTCACATAACTATTTAAGTAGACTTTTTATATATATATTTTTTTACTTCTAAAAATGTAGTAACTGTCATGAAACCCGACTTCACTTAAAAAACATCTAATTGTTGTTCTCTTGCATTGCATTTGATATTGAGGAAATCAGGGGTACTTCTATATTGTGATTCTCAGATTACATTACATTACAACACAGGTAACTAGTCATTGTAAGGGATTTAAAGCCCCCCCCCCCCCCCCCCCCCCCCATGTCACCTGGTCTGAGTCTCTGAGCCTCGTGTTAAACCACAAAGAGGCATCGGCGCAGAGGCAAATCGTTTAAAAATGATGTGGAGCCTTTTGTCGGGGGATTATAAAGTCAGACACTCACCCTGCCAGCATGGAGTCAGAAATAGGTCCTAATGTAGCCCCCCTCCATCCTCCATAAAGATATATAAATATATATATATATATATATAGCAGAGGAGGGGGCAGGATGTTCCTCTCTAGACACTTTGATGTTCATAATCGCATTTACAGTATACTGCTGGGTACAAATAGTTCAAAAACTCCATAATAAGTTCACCTGGAGACACGAGGGGGAGAAGCTAAGTACATTTACTCTATTGTATAAGCAGTGGTGGAAGAAGTACTCGGATCTTGTACTTGAGTAAAAGTAGAAGTACTCAGATCTTGGACTTGAGTAAAAGTAGAAGTACTCAGATCTTGTACTTGAGTAAAAGTAGAAGTACTCAGATGTTGTACTTGAGTCAAAGTAGAAGTACTCAGATCTGGTACTTGAGTAAAAGTAGAAGTACTCAGATCTTGTACTTGAGTCAAAGTAGAAGTACTCAGATCTTGTACTTGAGTCAAAGTAGAAGTACTCAGATCTGGTACTTGAGTCAAAGTAGAAGTACTCAGATCTTGCACTTGAGTAAAAGTAGAAGTACTCAGATGTTGTACTTGAGTCAAAGTAGAAGTACTCAGATCTGGTACTTGAGTAAAAGTAGAAGTACTCAGATCTTGTACTTGAGTCAAAGTAGAAGTACTCAGATCTGGTACTTGAGTAAAAGTAGAAGTACTCAGATCTAGTACTTGAGTAAAAGTAGAAGTACTCAGATCTTGTAATAGAGTAAAAGTAGAAGTATTCAGATCTTGTACTTGAGTAACAGTAGAAGTACTCAGATCTTGTACTTGAGTAAAAGTAGAAGTACTCAGATCTTGTACTTGAGTAAAAGTAGAAGTATGCAGATCTTGTACTTGAGTAAAAGTAGAAGTACTCAGATCTTGGACTTGAGTAAAAGTAGAAGTACTCAGATCTTGTACTTGAGTAAAAGTAGAAGTACTCAGATCTTGTACTTGAGTAAAAGTAGAAGTACCCAGATCTTGTACTTGAGTAAAAGTAGAAGTATTCAGATCTTGTACTTGAGTAAAAGTAGAAGTACTCAGATCTTGCACTTGAGTAAAAGTAGAAGTACTCAGATGTTGTACTTGAGTCAAAGTAGAAGTATTCAGATCTTGTACTTGAGTAAAAGTAGAAGTACTCAGATCTTGTACTTGAGTAAAAGTAGAAGTACTCAGATCTTGTACTTGAGTAAAAGTAGAAGTACCAGAGTGTAGGAATACTCTGTTTCAGTAAAAGTCCTGCATTCAAAATGTTCCTCAAGTAAAAGTAGAAAAGTATTCTCATCAAAATATAGTGAAAGTAGCGACAGTAAAAGTAGTCATTGTGCAGATTGGTCCATTTCAGAATAATATATATGATATGTTTTATAATGATTGATCATGAAAGTGTTCTCAAAGCTGGTAAAGGTGCAGCTAGTTTGAATGACTTTGTATACTGCAGGGTAGCTTGTGGATTTACTCCAGGTGGAACTAAAGTCTGATTTAACACTTGGTTATATTTCACATCATTCATCCACATCTGTGAAGTAACTCAAGGGATTAAATACATGTAGTGGAGTACAAGTACACCATTTACCTCTGAACTGGAGTGGAGTACACTACATCTCAAATATATACTTTTGTCTGCACTGACTCTGATTTCTGAGTAGCACCACTGAGAGAATTACGAGTGGACTGGGGGGGGACGTATGAATAAATAAAAGTCCTCTCTGTAAATAAACTGCGCTGCATTGACCTGATTTACTGAGGTTTATTCTGAGCTCCAGCAGCAGAGGAGAGGAACAGCATTACCTCTCATGTCCTTAAATAACAACAGGAGTTTTACTTTTCATTAATCTGTGAGGAATATTCGTCAATGACAATCCTGGATGAGAGCCAGAGTTTCAAGATATTTGCGAGTTTACCTAACCTTTAACAATTTTTTATTTATTGAATTCCTTTCCTGGCTGAAGTAGTATTTTGCATTGTTGAAGCATCATATTTAAATCAATTTAAAAAGTATTTATCTTTTATATCATCAGTATTTATTATGCATAATGTCCGGTGCCTTGCTCAAGGGTGCGGTCACTGACCTAAGATTCAATACCTAAATAAAACGTATACTTAAAATATGATTAATGTGATAGTTTGTCAAAGTTAAGAACATTTGAGTTACTTCACTGTAACATCAGATACCTGTTGCCTCGGCAGCAGTTTGACTTTCTACAGGTATGAGTGGGCCTGAGGTGCGTTCACTGACCTGTGTGAGAGCGTATGTGGCGTTTGAGTGCCGTGTGGCTGGGGAAGGTGCGGTTGCACTCGCTGCAGATGTAGCTGCGGACCCCCGCGTGCACCTCCATGTGCTGCTGGAGCGCCGGCTGCGCCTGGAAGCGTTTCCCACACAGCAGGCAGAAGAGGGCCATGTCTGAGCCTGAGGAGAACAGCACAAATCAGGAGGTTAGTGAGAGATGGCTCCGGGGATGATGGTGTAGAATCTGTTTGATATAATCATGTGTTTCAAGCCATACTAGTGAGTACTCTATATACTTTTTTGAACAATAAAGGAGATGGAGACATGTCCTAGTAGAGACCCTACATACTGATATACACCTGAACATCAGCAGGAGAGGACTCTTTAAAGTAGAGACACTACATACTGATATACACCTGAACATCAGCAGGAGAGGACTCTTTAAAGTAGAGACACTACATACTGATATACACCTGAACATGAGCAGGAGAGGACTCTTTAAAGTAGAGACACTACATACTGATATACACCTGAACATCAGCAGGAGAGGACTCTTTAAAGTAGAGACACTACATACTGATATACACCTGAACATCAGCAGGAGAGGACTCTTTAAAGTAGAGACACAACATACTGATATACACCTGAACATCAGCAGGAGAGGACTCTTTAAAGTAGAGACACTACATACTGATATACACCTGAACATCAGCAGGAGAGGACCTCTTTAAAGTAGAGACACAACATACTGATATACACCTGAACATCAGCAGGAGAGGACTCTTTAAAGTAGAGACACTACATACTGATATACACCTGAACATCAGCAGGAGAGGACTCTTTAAAGTAGAGACACTACATACTGATATACACCTGAACATCAGCAGGAGAGGACTCTTTAAAGTAGAGACACTACATACTGATATACACCTGAACATCAGCAGGAGAGGACTCTTTAAAGTAGAGACACTACATACTGATATGAACCTGAACATCAGCAGGAGAGGACTCTTTAAAGTAGAGACACTACATACTGATATACACTCTGAACATCAGCAGGAGAGGACTCTTTAAAGTAGAGACACTACATACTGATATACACCTGAACATCAGCAGGAGAGGACTCTTTAAAGTAGAGACACTACATACTGATATACACCTGAACATCAGCAGGAGAGGACTCTTTAAAGTAGAGACACAACATACTGATATACACCTGAACATCAGCAGGAGAGGACTCTTTAAAGTAGAGACACTACATACTGATATACACCTGAACATCAGCAGGAGAGGACTCTTTAAAGTAGAGACACAACATACTGATATACACCTGAACATCAGCAGGAGAGGACTCTTTAAAGTAGAGACACTACATACTGATATACACCTGAACATGAGCAGGAGAGGACTCTTTAAAGTAGAGACACTACATACTGATATACACCTGAACATCAGCAGGAGAGGACTCTTTAAAGTAGAGACACTACATACTGATATACACCTGAACATCAGCAGGAGAGGACTCTTTAAAGTAGAGACACTACATACTGATATACACCTGAACATCAGCAGGAGAGGACTCTTTAAAGTAGAGACACTACATACTGATATACACCTGAACATCAGCAGGAGAGGACTCTTTAAAGTAGAGACACAAAGTCCTGCATTCAAAATCACACTCAGCTGAGACACAAGCAGAAATGCAAGTTCACTGCGAGGTCAAAGTCTTTCCTAAGATTTAAACATGAAATACAAATATTGAAAACGGTCCCCTTGACTTAACACATATTTTCTTTCTGTTTTCAACACGTCGATATGAATCCTGTCTGCACTGCTCTATTGTAGTTTGGTATCACTCCTAGTGCACTCTTTGGAGAATGAAAGGGGGACGAAAGTTCACTGCAAGGTCTTATTTAAAATAGAGTTGAGTGCAATCAATCAATGAGTGACAGGAGAGGGACGTATTGCACATGTTGAAAATGTAATGTAGTATTTTTGTGACCTGGGTAGTACTTGGAGTAAAAGTGAGTAAAAGTCACTTAAGTGAAAGTACAAACTTTTTATTAATCATTATCAGAGTATACTGTACCAAAAGTAAAAGTACATGCATTCATGAAAGCCAAAGACATGTCAGGCAGTAACTCTACTTATAATATATCGATCTTTATTTGACATGTATTGTAACATTCTTCATCCTGCTAATAATCCCCATTTTTAGATTCCTTTTTGATGTAACTGTAAGGGAAAACAGTTACCTTTACAGTTTGTATCCTGATAACCTGTTACATATAATCCTTTTCTCCCCGTGCCTTCATAGCTGACAAGAAGAAAGCAGTATTTATAGGATGAAAGGTGCGCTCAGTACTCGTGTTTCATGGTGGGTTTGTACCAGATAAAGATCTCCTATGCAATACTTCAATTGAATCTCGACTCCAGCGAGCACTGTGCATTTTTCTCCAGCAGAGATAAAGAGTTGCAAACACACAAACAAACACACACACAAACACACGGCTGCACGCTCCCTTGAACACACTCCCTTCACACTTTTTCAATTACCAGGCTGAGGGAAAACTCTGGGGAAGGACTGAGTGTTTGCAGCTCAGTTTCTATTTCATCAGTCAATAACACATCTTTGGGGCAAAGCTGACACTAATTTAAAAATCTATGAAGAGCAGCCCGCCTCATGTTCATAACCACTGCAGGAGGAGGAGGCTCGCGACAGCCTCAACGCCAAATCAATCACTGTCTCTCTCTCTCCTCTGCTGAAGAAAGGAGGGAGGAGACGAGCTGCAGCGCTGGAGGACGATAATGGGAGGAAGGATGGAGAAGAGAAGCTGAAGATAAGAGAAGCAGGAGGTGTTGCACAAACCAAGAAGAAAACCTTATTTTGCTATACGGGAGAGAAATACATATTGACAAAGCTTCCCTTTGCAACCTTAGATCTGTCTCTGTGTTTCAATTTGTGTCGTACAGGAGAGGAATCACATCCTGAAGTAAAATCAGTAATACTGTGGTCTTAAAATACTCCATAACAAGCCAAATGTACATCAAGTATCAACGGTATGCAGAATGGCTGTTAAGAAATATTAATATTATGTCTTTATAGTCCACAAATACGTGTCATGAAGTTTCATTGTGTTGTTGAGACAATTTTAAAATACTCTGTAGTTAAAAAGAATAGTACTACATCATCTGCGTATCATGCTGTTCCATCCCGTCACTATGAGTGTTGAATAAACACATGTTGTGCAGCAGAAGTATATGAAGCAATGCAGTGTTTAAGATGAATTAGTAATGCTAACTAGTCCATGCATGTGGCTGGTGCTAAGCTAGCTTTCTCCTGTGCTGTATATTCCTTACCCGTTGATATAAAGACACTACATGTGAACATGCCAACCTAAGTATCAAACTTTTTAGCAACAGGTTCAAACCCCATGAGTCTTTAACATCACCCTTCTTGTTAGGGAATAATTTGCTTAGGTATTCAACCTTCGACACAGTTCATCATTTTCTCCTCTCACTGTCTCTTTTCCCATGGCATAGGTCTACGGCCTTGGGTTCTGCTGCTATCTCTCTTAAGGGGGAGGAGCTTGGGTTCTGCTGCTATCTCTCTTAAGGGGGAGGAGCTTGGGCGCATTGTTGATGCCAGTCTATGACCGAGCACAAGCCGCCATGAGGTAGTTTACTGTTCAGGGACGTAGGTTCCCTGGCGCACGTTCTTTTCTATGGACGAGAGCTCTAGTTAGATTCAGGGTCCATATTGCTTTAGTCTCACTGATGAAGAATGTTGATTATTACACTCTGAACTAGTTAAACCTCGAGCTACAGAAAGAGTTCTTCAGAATTGGTTTGGCAACCGCTGTGTCAACTCGTGACACACCAGCTGTCTTGTCAATTCTCCGGCCGTAACTCCAAATAAACCGTCAGTGTTTGCCATCAAAGCTCCAGCTCTCCTCGTGTCTCTCTGAGTCCTGTTTCCAATTGCTTCAGAAGTTTCCCCACACTTCTTTTAGATTTAGTTTGGATGATTGTTGGGAAGTAATGCTCTGTACTTCATCCTCTGTTTTATCTCTAAGTAAACTACAACCCTTTTTCTAAACCACTGGACCTTTGCCCTGCAGGTAACATCTTAAATGCAAACCAATGCATGCTCCTGATGCTAAGCTAGCTTCCTCCTGTGCTGTATATTCCTTACCCGTTGATATAAAGACTAACCCTAACCCTAAGACACAAAATGTGAACATGCCAACCTAAGAATCAAACTTTTTAGCAACAGATTCAAACCCCATGAGTCTTTACCATCACCCTGCTTTAAGATTTAGTTTGGAAGCTTTTGAAGGCAAACTTTAGTAAAGTGCAACCCTTATTCTAAACCATTCGACCTTTGCCATGCAGGTAACATCTTAAATCCAAACCAATGCATGCATGAAGCTCCTCTCCTCCTGTGCTGTGTTTTCCTCAGCCCTGTCTCCTCCTGCTCTTTGATTCTATCAATGAAGAGGCTATTGATCGGGGTCGATCGCTGCTGGAACCCCTCCAGGTCTGCAGGTCCTTAACGAGCTTTGATTGACAGACATGCCTCCTGCTCACTTCCATTCTCTCCCTGCCTCTCTCTTAGTGCAGCGTGCATCTTAAACCTTCTGTCTGCCTGCCGCTGAGAGTCTGTTTGTTATCGTATGCTTCTGTTAGTGCTTGTATTTCAGTGGGTTTTCGGTAACGTAAACGCTCCTAGGATACTTTTTCTTGATTGTGAAAAAAGGAAAATGTAGGGTTTTGAAGGTAATCTTCTGTTTTCAATTTGAAGGATTACCTTGGTTTTTGTGTTTCAGATTTTACACATTTTTTGTCTGCATGTTCGTGAAAAACATCAGGGATCAGGCTGTGCAAATGCTTCTTCTATATCCATACATTAAATCACATTAAAGTAACACACTTGGCTCTGTCAGTGGACTACTACACACTCAAGAAATTGTCTTTTTTATTTCAGTCTTTGCTTTAAAGGGGACCTATCATGCAAAATGCACTTGTGTACGTCTTTTCTACATGAATATGTGTCCCCGGTGTTCCAGGGAACTCACCAAGTGTCAGAAAACACAACCCTCTCTCTTTTCCTCCATACCCAAATCTCTAAAAAAGGGGCTGCAACGGATCTGATCAAAACTGATCCAGATTTGAACACT